TTGCAGTTTGCCCTTGCAGGCTCAAGCAATGGCCATTACAGGCATTTGTTCATTCTAGCTTAGTTTGTATTTTGTTTTTGTGATTTGTTAGTGTTGGTTATTGCAATTGAATTTCAAGAGTCTGTGGCCCAAGCCTTCAATATGGCAGCAGGGAAAACAGATCTAACAGGTCTCTTTTTTTGAATGGGAAGACAGGGCCAGGGAGCTCAATGAAGCTTGGCTGCAGCCAGTTGCATTTGCAAATGCTGCTGCCAAGTTCCATTGCAGTTTTCCTCACTAGTGTTTTGCTGGCCCAGGAAGAGATTGAGAAGAAATACTATGAGGCCCATGATGCAACTTTGGTTTCCTTTTTGGAAATGGCTCACTGACCCTCCAATGCAGGCGAACAACAAAGATGAGATGAATGAGGTCAAGGAGGACAGGTGTGATCATCGAAGCTTCTGTAGTTGCATTTGTGTGTATGCCAGGAGGCTGTCACACTGAGCGATGACATCACAGTTTAAACCTCAGCAAGTGAAGCCAGTAATTTGCACATTGAATACTGTGGTAAACAAATGCTTCATGTGAGCAAACTGTTCTGAATATTAATGTGTCCCAGGAGCCACCTTCTCCTGAGACTATGGTGAGCAACCTCAAGAAGGATGAGAAGGCGCAATGAAACAAAAAAAAATCTACAAGGTTTCTATTGTTATGTAATTGCCAATGCAGTGCTACCCTCATGGCAGGAGGAAGCACAGACCCTTAAAAGGACAGCTCCTCTGGCAGATGGGTATGCGCTTTGGTTGCATTGTTTTGTACATTGAGCCTTTACAGGCTGAGTTTGTGGGAGCCTACTACAGGCTATAAGCTTACTAGAACCTAATGTTTCTTTCATTGATTTAAAGCCTGTATAGGCTGCCTTGCATTCAGCCTTCTACAGGCTATATTGGCATTCAAGATATGCAGTCTATCTAATTTGAGTTCAATAGTAGTGCACTGCACTGCCAGGTACCTCCATCCAAGAAAGCTGCTGGAGCTCCACCGCCATTCATCTATATGCCCAAGATCTATGTGCCTGAGAATGTGCTGAAAACACCTAGAGCTGCAGCGCATACAAGACCTCAACCAGCAGAACCTGCTCAACCAGCAGAACCTGCTCAACCAGCTGAACCTGCTCGACCAGCTGAACCTGCTCAACCACCTGACCCACAAGCTGCTATGCCCAGCAGTGCTGAAGTTCCAAATGCTGAAGCTCATTGGTACCAACCATACTGCAGCCAAGAAGAAGCTGAGAAGCTGGTGAAGGCTGTTGCAGAACACATCCATGTGAAGGAAGGGACAGCCGACAAGCCTGCTACAACTACATGGAAAGAAGGATGGTATGATGATGGTTCATATTGGGAAATGGACCGTGAAAAGGCAGGGCTCTGGTGGAAGTACAAGGCTGGTGAATCCTGGTCCAGATGGCGAGATCCAGAGGTACCTTGGACTCATTGAATTAACTATTTTATTTTATGTGTTTATGAACAGATATTGCAACCTGACAGCAAGCAAGTGTTTTACTTTGTTGGATATTTGACCACAGGATGAAGCAGCAGCGAAAGTCACTGGTTGGATGGCAAAGGCAACAGCATTGGTGCACTCCTGGCAGGTAGGCAACCATGCATACCTGGAGAAAGCATTGGAGCGCCTCAGTGGTCACCACTCCCTACATAAGCCATTGAACACCTTGGCCCAGGAGGTGAAGAAGAAGGGCATTGCTGCCTATGACAAATGGCTGTGAAGTCATTACATCGACACCTTGCAAAGAGCACTGTGAAAATAGAATGCGCTTTTGGCTAAGCCAATATAGGCTCAAATTTTGCTTTACAATCATGTCAGCCTCTACAGGCATACAGTTTAGCCTATGTAGGCTTGCCTCTACAGGCAAATTCTTAAACCTATGTAGGCTTGCCTCTACAGGCAAATTCTTAAAGCAATAACCTATGATGTTGAATTTAGTTATTTGAATTCAAAATCACAAAGTATGATTTTGAATTCAGTGATTTGAATTCAAAACCACATAGTATGATTTTGAATTCATGGAGTTGAATTCAAAATCACAGAGTATGATTTTGAATTCAAGGATTTGAATTCAAAATCACAGAGTATGATTTTGAATTCAGGGATTTGAATTCAAAATCACAGAGTATGATTTTGAATTCAGGGATTTGAATTCAAAATCACAGAGTATGGTTTTGAATTCAAGGATTTGAATTCAAAATCACAGAGTATGATTTTGAATTCAGTGATTTGAATTCAAAATCACAGAGTATGATTTTGAATTCAAGGATTTTGAATTCAATATCATAAGTATTTTTTTTATGTTTTAAATGCCAATACAGGCTCACATAGTTCTGTTTGCATTGAAATACAAATTGTTTTTTATATGTAATTGGTTCAAGTTCTGGCTTCAAATAGTGTTGATGATTCTCAGTAAATCACTGACTGAGGAACCACTACCACATCTTCAAAATATAATTGAAATATTATGGAATGAAGACACCATAATCTGAATGTAGGTTCAGAATTCAGAAGTTACCATCACACACTACATTTGCGCACAATAGTATGATATGTATGAAAAGTGTTGGTAAAACTACTTTTGCAAAGTGCAGCCATGTCATCACAGCCTGCAAAATGTGAGCAACTGCAAATTCCAGTGGCAAACCCATATATCATTGGCGACACTATTTTGGATGGTGATGAAGATGCTCAAGTCATAGTATTTGAATGTGGTGCACCAACCAGATGGGCATTACAATGTAGAAAATGGAGGAACTACTTTCAGGTTCCAGATGATGACATTGAGGAGGATGACATTGCCATTGAAACTTCAAGTCCAAGCAACAGTTCACCAGCCAGAGAGACTGTACCAACCAAAGAACCAAGTCGAGGCAAGAAAAGAATTGCTGAAGAAGCAGGCTTAGAATTCAGTTGATGTAGACAGCTAGCTGCCTTAGCAGCTAAGCAATTGCATTGCCCTACTGAAACATTGCACTGTTTAGAAATTTGCAACAAAGTGTAATGATACGCTTGTTTGCACTGCAGGTTGCAAAAAAAAAAGATGTCAGGAGTCATTTGCAATAGCTTGTATAAGCTGTTTTGTTTCATACAAGCTTGTGCAAGCTCATTTTCAGATAAACAAGCCTCTGCAGGCTGTTCTCCAAGTTAATGATGCATTGAAACACTTACTTGGCAGCCATTTGGCATGGAAGTAAAGGAATCTTGTCTCACCAAAGATGTCTTGGAAAGCATCAGACATTACAAGAGATCGAGGCAATGGCAAGGCTGCTGAAGTCAAGGCCTGATGTCCAGGAGCTCCATGACAAGTTACTGGCTTCTGTGAAAGTCAAGTTGCAGAACATGCCTGCAATGAGCAATAGTGACTTGGCATGTTGCTATGAACACATAGCAAACATAGACATGCCAGACCAGATGAGGACAAATGTCTTTGCACTCCTGGATGGGTGTGCCATGGAAGGTGTTGCTGGCCAGAGTGTGGGGAGGCTGGCTTCTTCTGGGCAGGAGTGCAAAGCTTTCTCCAAATACCTGACAGCCACTGAGATTACTGATTTGGAAGGGTGCTCCATGTGGGCAGGATGTGAAATTATTGCAAAGCGCATGAAGTTGTTGGGAATCTCAGGTATGAAGGAAAGCCTGAAGAAAACAATTTTGGGACTCCTAGTGTCTCTAGAACAAGAGAGGAGCCACAAGATCCCATGTGCAGATGCAATCTACAAGCTTGGACACCACCTGGTCCACACCCTACAAGGAGTGATAGTGGAAGTGTCTCCAGCTTCTTTGGCTTTGAAGGCTTACCCAGAGGATCCCATGGCCTTGTCAGACTCACACTTTCTGGCAGCATACCCAGTGGAGAGGCCTGCTCTGAGGGAGTTCCCCCAATTGGCAATCATCATCCAAAAGCATATCAAGGTGAGGAGCTCAGCTCTTGCCATCACCAAAGAGCACACACAGCCACAGCAAAGCAGTGCTGCTTCCTCAGCTCAGCCAGCTGCAGCTACTTCATTTCACCCAGCTGCTGGTTTCCTTGGTGACCAATTCATGATGCATTTGCTGGCTAGCTTTCACAAAGCAAGTGCCACTATCCTTTCTGGCTCTACACAGAAAGGCTCAGAGATTGAGATCTTGAGATCACCAAGCAAGAGGCAAGCGCTTGCAAATGGAACCAGCTCAGAGTCCTTGAGCACTGGGCAAAAGACCCCTGCTGAGGAGAATAATTTTGTGGCTGAGCAGAAGACTATTCCTGAGGAATTGAGTTTAGTGGTTGGGAATGGAAATGAAAATGACAAAGCTTCCCCCCACCTTAGAAAGCATTGAAGAGGCCAACTATGCACAACTGCAGGAAAGGAATGTGAAGGCTAAGAGCATGAAACGACCTGCAGCCTGTTCTGAGATGTCTGCCAAGAAGAAGCCCAAGGCAAAGGCCAAAGCTTCTGGCAAGGCAAAGGCAGTGGCACAGGCTTCTTCAGTGCAAAGGGGGGTGTTTGAGATGCAGAGGAAATCCAAATGGATGCTCAGCTTGCCTCAAGGATTCCTTCTCAGGAATGCGGATGTCCAGGCAAGAATGGGTCCAGCATGCCAGGCTTAACAATTTGAAGTGACCTTCAATCCATGGGGTGCATCATGTGTCTGAAAGACATATGCTGCTGTGGGCTTGAACAGCAAGCAATGCTGTGAACACCTGCTACCAGGTGCCTGTGAAAAGATCTAGGGCAGTGCAAGTGGATGCCACTCAATCAGCTTGTGCAAGCTTATGTGCTGTATGTTGTTTGTTGGTGCCTAATGTTTGAAGCCTTTGCAGGCTGATCCTACACATGCACAACCAAAAGAGCCTGTTCAAACAAAAGGCATTAGCCATTAGCAGCCACTACAGTGCTCAATGCAGGCCATGGCCTCCAACAGTGCTGACTTCAGGTCTTGGACAGATGCCTCTGGCCAGAAAACCTACTGGTTTGTGAATGTTGGTCCTGGAGGCATGGGTGTAAGTATGTTGGCAATGTTAGAGGGTGTGCTTTTGTTTGTTTATGTTAGCCCTGCCAAAACAGGATGGGAAGAATGGAAGACTGTGGAGGAGTTCTTGCAGCAGCTTACCACAACCTTCATTGTGCCAGAGCAAAGGGTGAATGAAGTCAAGGAGAAGATCGAGAAGAAGGTGAGCGCAGGGCAATGGCCCAAGAACTAGCTGCTACAGGATGAGAAAATAGTATGTGGTTTTCCATTGCCACTACAGGCACAAGCCTTTACAGGCCAAACAGCCTTTACAGGCTTCCCATCATTCAATTGCCATTGCAGGCAGAAGGTAACATCTAGTCTAGCAGCCTTCACAGGACTCATACTGTTCAATTATTACCATGGCAACCTGTTGCAAGCTTCACATCTTTCAGTTGCCACTGCAAACACAAACCAGGCATTGCAAGTTAGCACCCATACATACCCATACATGTATGATCATGCAAGCATTGCAGCTTCATTTAGTTTGACTTGTTGCGCATTAAGGTTCATTTAGTTTCACTAATTGAGCATTGACATGTCATTTACTTTCACTTATTTGGTACTTGCACCCATGGAGAGCCATGGGAGATGACCAGAGTGATGCCAAAAGAAGGAAGATCAGTGACTTAAGGGCAGTTCTTCCTTTCTGTTCTCAAACTGCATTGGCTGCCATTTGCAAAGAGATTGAGCGTGGAGGGCTGCCTGAGAATGTATCCAGGTTTGCCATCTGGAAAGAGACAAAGGATTTCTTGGAGGACCCAAGCATGACCATGTATGGCAATTTTTTCAAAAATGCAGAGGTCACAACAGTGGACAACACAAAGAAGCAAATCATCTACATCAATTTTTTGTCGCTATTGTCTGGAACCTTCCACAAAGGTGGAGCTTTCACTGACTTCTTGCTTCAGTTGCATTCAATGACACCATCAAGTTTAGATAGGCCTTGGAAATGTGTAATTTATTCAAACGAAGTTCACCCAGGGAATATATTACATTCAACTTCCAGAAAGGCTTGGTGCATCTACATATCTTTTTTAGAATTTGAAAGGTTCTTGAGCAAATCTGACTGTTGGTTCTGCATAGCAATCTGCAGAAGCCAAGAAGTTGGCACCTTTGCAGCAGGCATCTCACAACTCTTTCGCATTGTCTTGGAAGACATTTTTGCAGATGGGGTGCCTGAGACAGGTGTGCTCTTGACATCACCTAAGGGCTCTTTGAGGCTTCACTTCACCCTCAGTATGATTCTACAAGATGGTGCTGCCCACAAATCTGTGTGGGCAAGTCGGCAAGACACAGGAAGCAAACCATGCTTCCTATGCAAGAACTTGTTTCAACTCAGAGATGAAAGCACTCTTGCAGCAGGTGGTGGCAATATTTTCTCCAAATTCTTGAAGTATGATCAGCTGCAGATTGCTACAGATGCAGAGGTGGTCAGCAGCTGGCAGAGATTGGGAAGTTTGTCCCACACAGCAACCAAAAAGGAAATTGAGCTAAGGCAGCAAGCAGCAGGGCTGTCTTATTGTGCACATGCATTGTTGTCAAGTGAGAGGCTCTTGAAAAATCATTTGTTGAGGCCAGTCTCATTATATTGTTATGACTACATGCATGGCCTTTGCAGCCATGGAGTGCTGAATGACATGCTCTTCTTGGTGCTTGAAAGCATCCACCAATCTGGGCTCAAGGCTTGGGACAGCCTCCAGAGTTGGATGGAGTTGTGGTCATTCCCCAGAGCTTACAGCATTTCAGACATTGGGAAGTTGTTTGAGGCCAAAGCCGTCACAAGCAACAGAAAAGCTGGGACGTTTAAATGTGATGCCTCTCAAGTGTTGCTGGTGTACAAGCCTGTGGAACATTTTTTGAGAGTGATGTATTTAGCATGCAATGTGATGGTGTTGGAATGCCAGGCCTATGTGTCTTGGGCAAGAGTCCTTGATTATTTGGTCTCTTTACCCTTTTTGCCAAACCCTTCACCTAGCAAACTTCTGAGCTTGATTGAAGTGGCGATGGCAGCAACAGTTAGTGGAGGATTTGCTGATTCCATGAAACCAAAATTCCACTGGTGCTTACATCTTGCTGATGGCCTGAAGAGATGGTCACAATTACCAAGCTGTTGGGCGCTTGAAAGAAAACACAAGCAACCCAGGAAGTTTGGAAGTGTACACTGTAAGCTGGTAACTTATGAGAAGGGCTTGCTGAGTGCTGTTTCTATGGAGCACATCAACACCTTGGTGAGCCAACATTATTTGTTCAAGACCAGTTGCCATTTGATCAACCCTTCTGGCTTGACCAAGAAGCTGGAAAAGATGTTCCAAGAGCTTCGATGTTTTGCTCCTGGCATGATGTATTCAAAGTGCTGCATCTTGCAGAATGGTGCAACTTGCCACAGAGATGATATTGTTTTCATGGAAAAGCTTCCTGGAGACAATGAGTTCTGGCAGTGTGGCCAAATCAAGCATTTCTTTGATGCAGCAGGCTGTTTGCTGTGCTTGGTGGATATGTTCAAATGTCTTGGTGTCAGGGCTGGCACAGAATCTAGCAAGTGGCAAGCAGGTGGTGGCTTGAAGTTGGTGGATGTGAGGCAAGTGCTGCAGGCAGTCATCTACTCACATGGAAAGGATGGCAGCCTCACCTGTTTGACCCCTGCACTTTTGTCTTGCAGTGTGAAAAAAATGAAACTCCACATTTGCACATAGCTTATGCAAGCTTATGTTCTTTCCCCCACTGAAGGCTACAGCCTGTATAGGCTCTTGAAGGATATGCCTATGTTGCAGCACTACCTGCAAATTCAGCTGCTTGTAGCTGCATTTTTCTTTAATTTTTGTAAAAAGATTTTATGCTGCAATTGGATTTGTTTTTTTAAAATAGCATTTTGGAAAACCAAACACAGTGGGCAATGCAGCACATTTTGTTGTCATTGCAAAATCACTGGAAGCCTCCCAGGTTGGAAAAAAAAACACATCATGGTGTATGATTTGCAATTTTAAATACCAACATGTTTGGTTGAAACATTCATGGCATGTGCTTGTGCATGTGTCTCTTTGTTGCCAAATTGTTCGTTTGAAAGTATTTTTCTCTTTTGCAAAACAAAAAAAACTTAAAAATGTCTTTGACACTTTTGAAAAATGTCCTTAGGATTGTAAAAATCCAGCCTTTTGCTAACTAGTTTATAAATAGTTATAACTAGTTACTAACTACTTAGCTAATGTCCTTAACAGCCATAACTCAGTAGTAAAACCAGCAGCTTCAAAGTGGTGTTTTGTTGTTCACATTGACCTGTACGTGCCACCTATACTTTCACTCGTCCCATGCTTCCACTCGTCCACTGTCTTCGCTCCGTCTGCCTTGGTGGCCTCAGCCAACTTCTTCCTCTCGAAGTCGGCCACCTTCTTCCGCTCCGAGGGCTTCTCGTCCTTTCCTCCGGACGCCCGGCGCCAGGAGATTTGGAACAAACGAGCGGATGATGACGGCTCGGAGTCTCAGGAGCATTGAATACACGGTTGTATACTTCAGCTGTGCATGTGTTGAAACACGACACCATGCACTACATATAGACATATATATATATAACTATATATATGGGAGTTGATCTAAAATTCCTTTATCCGGGATCCGTCACTTTCGCAAAAAAATTACTTTCGCCAAACTTTCGCCTTCCTGCGTTTTATCTTTCACCGAAGTACGTTGTATTTATGTGTGCCATGTATGTTGTGTTTTGTTCACGTCAATGGCTTCTTCTTTGCTGGCAAACACAAAATAGAAACTTCACTGTTTGTCAGCATGTGTCTTCTACTTAACTGTTGACACCCTGTACGTCTCTTTTGTTTCTCCTGGGTGTCAGCAAGAATCAAAATTGCAAGAATCACTGTAGTAGCCGGTCACTCAAACTTACTCATAATGGGCTGGGGGTCAGATGTGGCAGGGTGAACTTTCGCCAATCTTGAGCTGAACTTTCGCCAAACTTTCGCCTTTTGCGGGGTAGAGTTTTGTGGCAAAGCCACCCCCCCAAAGCAGGAGCAGGAATAGCAGTAGTAGTAGTAGTAGTAGTAGTGGTAGTGGTAGTGGTAGTGGTAGTCGTAGTAGTAGCAGCCGCAGCAGCAGCAGGTTATCTAACTTCCACAGCTCATCTAGCTTCTGAGTCACTGCCACCAGCTGTTCAGGAAGCAAATGAACATTCACACAAAAGTACATATTTAATATTTCGCCAGATCTTTCGCAAAAAAAAAATACTTTCGCCAACTCGAGAAAAAACTTTCGCCAAATGAGATGAGATTTTGATATGTTCCGGGTCATCGTCATACACACTGCTGACTAGGACCTTTAGATCGACAACCCTATATATATATCCAGCACGCGCAATTTGGTGCAAGTAGTTGGGGTATACAATCATATCTCTGAACCTTTCTAGAACCTAAGGCGCTTCCGGGTGCGCACTTTCCTGTGGGTTCATCCACCACAGTATGATCAATTCAGCAACTCCAGGCGTCCGAGGTTTTCGAACAAGGCCCGCAGCTGGTGGTACTTGTTCGTCAGGCTCTCTGCTGTTTCCATGAGCTGTGACCAGCCATCCTCCTCTTGTTCTGGGATAGGCTGTGGGCGCATGAACATCGCAGGAAGCACAGCGACATTGATCACAGCTGTCGATTGTTCAAAGTCGAAGTCCTCACCAACCACAGACACCAAATAATCATCCTCAGAACAGCTGAAGGCTTGCGAAAAAACTTCACCGTCCACCAACCCTGTGTGAATCAGTTCAAAGTCGAAATAGTTGGAGCGGAACAGAGATATCATCCTCAGATTTGACGGAACAAAAATACCTCATTGGCAAGTTAGACAAGTATTCACCTGTTGAACCCTTCAGTACAAAGCCCTTGGGCGGCGGCTTCTACACACAGTACTTTGTCCAAACAAAACAGCATCTGGCCTTCCCTTCGCGAGCTGGTCTTCTCCCAAGCCCTTGAAGAGCTTGAGCTCTGAGTCGTTCATCTGAAAATATCTGAAACCATCTATCTCCCCCCAGAACTCATGAACTTGGGCTCCGGTGACTTTAACTTGGGCCCTAAGGTGACCTACCAACCTATGGCAAAAACAGCCGCAACACCACTCACAAGAAGAATATGTTTTTTTCATATCTAAAACCAACCCTGAGAAAATCCCTGGACCTTGGCTGTGGATGCTACTACAATATGGCTATGGTGTTGAACCTAGCAACCATCCGACATCTTGAATGAATGGCTCAACCCGTTCGGCCTTTCATAGGATGTGCATGTGGCCACATGTGCGAAAATGACCAGCCTCTGGTGGTTCAAGTTACTCAATGCCCTTCTCAAAAGCTTAGTGTCTTCTTGGCCACCCTTGACATTGCCTCAGTGTGAGTGAGCTGTTTGGTCTCTCAAAGGCTTCGAAGCGAAACACAAAACATTCGGAGGCCGCCCCGTTGCTTTCTAAATCCATTATCCGACATACTACAGACCACCAGAAAGGCAAAAAAAACAAAGGGCACAATAAATAACAAACACAGCACTAAGCTGATACATGTTGATACTATGCAACCCGTTCTCCAGTGCACATCACACCTGTCTTTGGCTGGGATAGCTACTAATGGGTAGCGCATAGAAACAGTGTTAAGGTGCTGGGCTGGAAAGTTGTTCTTGCTACATCTCAAATTCACTCTGGTTTCCCATTCCGTGGTGCTGAAAGAAGGGCCAATGGAGACAAAGTTTATCAAGGAGGTGTTCAAGTCTTGAACTAGTTGAAATGCATAAAATTGCAGAAACATTTCTGATGTTCGAATTGAGGACACCGGACACCGGGGAACACTTTCCGTGAGACTTGGAAACGGATGGACTGTGGACATAGGTTCATGAATGTCTCTAACTTCGGAAGCCCCTCACCCGGTGGGGCCGAATGCAAACAAACACCTTGGTGTCTGGTGTCAAGATGTGTCCACCAAACCTGCACAGTCTCTATTGTAACTCGCAAGGCAGGGGTGTAGCCAAATCAATCAATAAACAAAGGCACAAAGTGCAAACCATCTCTCTCTGAACAATCGTTGATCAGGCGCAAGAAGAATTTGTGACAAAGGTCCAACGGAAGAGGAAAATGCCGGGAAAGCATAGAAGATCACATCTACTTTAAACTTTCATGAGCTTTCCTGCTGGCTGCACTCAGCAACTGAAGAGCTCAGGGTACCCCACGCCGGGTTGCGTCACACACGTTCAGTAGGGAGTCAGAACACTCCCTTGACTTCCAAGAAAGTCCAGAGAAATCACATCTTTGAGTCTTTGAGATACATTTACATTTACGTAGCTTGCAGAACATGCCTGACAACTACTAAACCATTGAATTGATCACAATGTGATTACATTGTGCCTGTATGAACAATCAAAACAGCGCTCTCAACGGCACGCTTTTCAACACTCACCGCGCCGGCAACTTGTTTGCTCCACCTCTCTGCACAACCTCATGGAAACACTTCAACCACGCTAAACCGAGTCGCTGGGCCGCTGGAGCCATTTGATCATTGCCTGCTCCTGTGAGAACTGCGCCGATGAGAAAGGTTCGACCGACAAGAAGGACTAAGGCTTATAGCTCGATGATAAGTCCCTGAACTAACCCTTTGAACGGGACAAATGTATATACTAGAATGTACTCCACATACATATACAATCATATACATATCATTGATATTGAGTCATCTTGCTAGATTGTTAACCTGGCGTGCATTGCAATTCAATTTTTGAGGTTTCTGTTGTTGGACATCAAAACCAGGGTCCAAGTCCGCATGTGGACCCTTTTGTGTTCGGAACGCGCATGTCTGCTTGTCAGGGTGTGCAGTTGTTGGAGAGAACATCGTTGTGCTTTCAGTCCAAACACGCCACACCTCGGCCGGATCCAAGCGGACTCTTTCAATCGGCGGAACAGTCCACCCGGGAGGCATGTCTTTTAATTGCTGGTTGGTGGTTTCAACTCAATTGACAACTCTTAGTCATCCCAAAGGTTGTAAATTCACATACATACAGTACCTCAAACACCGGTACCATAGGAACTCTTTTCAACACTCCCCACTCTTCGCTGAATCATCCTCTCAACCCGAAGGAGACAAAAACGCCGAAGACAAATTCGCTCCTGCTGCAGTTCGGTGACCTCGCCCCGAAACCATCGCCCGTTGCGTGGCCACTCGGCCCAAACAGCGTCCCCCAGCTTCACGGCACTTGTGGCAGCCTCACCTCAGAAGGTAAGACAATGTCGTCCAACCAAGCAAAGAAAGGTTATTGAAGGAAAGAGTTTCAAGTGTGTCACCCACCATGGTGTTAGTTGGGATTACTTTGGTCAGCAGCGGGCTTTACAACACGCGTGTTTATTTGTTTCCACCTGAGTTGTCATGTTTGTATGTCCATACGTCTGTTTACCCGACTGGACGTACATTCACATATCAAAAAGTCGTGTAGCACATTTGTTGAGTGCCATGCGCCCCGGCTCGTCTTGCAACCAGGGGTACGTACGTCTAAGGGGTCTGTGACTAGCTGTTCCCACGGCTGATCATGACATTTCAGGATCGTCAACCGGGGTTTGTTACATCGAAAAGGGGCCAACCAACTTTGCTTCCTACTACCAGAAGACAAAGGCATAGGGGCCGGACACACAAGTCCGCGCGTAAATCTTTCTTGAGTGATTCTGTGCTGTTGAACTGCGAGAATGCTTTCTTGCAAATGGAACACCTTCAGCATCATCACCACCACCACCAGCATCATCATCATCATCATCATCGGCACACCCCCCGGGATCTCACAACAACCTGAACAAGTACGTAGTTGGTAGTGTTCTTCTTACGTGTGCAACTCTTTCATGTTCTCCCATAAATACCTTCATTTCTGAGAAAACTGACTGTAGTGCCCAGCACTGATCTTCTCAACACGGTTGCCAGGTCATCCATGTTGGCTCTCAGAATTCCACCAATCCAGGTTTTAAGTATCTCAATTTGGAACGCACAAAATTGGGTCGAAATGCCTACCAATGGAGGGATGAAGCTAAGAAACTATTTATGCAAGTTGCAAACACACACAATCAAAAGGAAAGCATACAATTACCTTGGAACTGATCACTTTTCCAAATGGGTCGACATGGGTCGACTGATCACTTTTCGGGTCACCAATACCTTGGGACATCTCCTTCCACATGTCCCTTATCTCTGCTGCGCTCTTCTCAATCGCATCGATGCCCCGTCGGCTCCGGCGCACATAGACCTCGCTGGCGTCCAGCGTGGCTGCGCTGAGGAGCAGCAGGACCTTGGCGAAGGCGGGATGAATTGGAATAGCTGGGCTGATTCCACAAGGCCATAAATAGAAAAATTTGCCCTGCAGGGGTTTTATCTAAAGGGAAAATAAATCACCTGAAGCAAAACCAGATTTCCCAGTGGAAACAACAACAGTGTACCTGGAATCTACCCCAAAAATAACAAGAGAGTGGATATGTCTACTGTGTGCTCGAGTTTGGCCCAAGATGTTCCCGTGCGGCTGCGTAAAAAAGCACCTCTCCAAACTTGAAAGACGCGCGGTTTGCGGTTTTCTTCGGGCGCGCGGCGTGGGGCTGAGACCTCCAAAAGAAAACATGAAAAAGAACACCATGCCCCCCCGAACACAAAAAAAAGAAGTGCCTGCGCGTGTCAAAAAAGAAGAATCTAAAGCAAGTTCCACACTCTCTTGTCTTTCTCTCTATGTGACCCAATGGAGGTCTTCCAAGCCGGTGCTAGCACGACCCACGGTGGAGAGCAACTTCAGCAGGGAATCCATCAGAACCTGGGTGACGGCGCAACCGGCGCAAACCGACCGCGGGAGCGATAGCAGCTATTTCAGCGACCCACCTCAGAAACCAAACACTCAAGAAAAATAGAACATAGCTATATATATTAATCACTAAAGGGTATATGTATGTTCAATTTGGTGACCATCCCAGGAAGAAATAGGAACCTGCATATTCTACAAAGCTGTTCAAAGACTCTTTTCATGGATTGGGTCCGGGTATCAATGATGGAATGATGGGGTGATGGTTGGTGGAACCGAACATGATATCCATTCAATAATCAAAACGATTGCCATGAGCAAATCCCAAAGCACGGAGGGCACGTCTGATCCTTTGTACAGAAGCAGCCGCAACGGGACGGCTGGAGAGATGTGACTGCAGTCCATGCCTCAGCTGAAGGTCAACCAAAACTCATAACCCTCCGAAAGCTTCCATACTGTGGACATGAGAGCTGCCCTCCATCCAACATATGGCAGTAAACAACCCCGCTTTCTTCCAAGTCTGACCGTGGAACCGATGTTTGTTGGATGGAGGGTGCACCCCTCAAGCACGCGGGATGTGTTTGCATGTTTTAGCTGTTTTAGCACACGTTGCCATAGGTATATGAAGAAAGCCACTTCCGCTATGAGTCCGTGTCTTGACAGCAGCTTCCAGGTTTGTCTCAGGCTCGCGAGGGCAAATCAACATGTGGGAATCTTACTTCAGCAGGAGGAAGCTTCATAGCTTACAACTCACAACATCATTTAAGCAACTTGAACATAGAAACACATCGAGCGCGCGCAAAGTCACCTATATAGAGATTAAACACCTCCCCGTTTGACCTAGCCAAACAACAAGTTCGGATGGGCCTGGGGTCCTTCAAACCATAACTTCCTCATGAACTTACCTGTTGCTTCCGCCTTCTGCATAAACCTTCCCGGTGTCATGTTTGGATCTTGTTAGGTCAACCCAATGTTTGGATCAACTTGGACCCTCTGTTTGTCTCCTAGCTGGGGATTTAATAGATGAACCCCCTTGTCCGCAAGTTTCTCCTAGGGAAAGCAATCCCAGCAAAAAAGCTTGGAGCTTGGCCACTGCCTAGATACAAAACTGACCCATCCATTCAGGGTTTTGCCAATTTTGCTCCACCGCGGTCGCCTCCGTTTGGCCTTCCGTTTGGCCTTCCGTTTGGCCTGCGGTCATGCCGCTCTCCCTCTCCGGATCCGTGCTGGCCGCAACATAAATGGCTTGTCGTCCGACCTCTGTCTCTATCAAGGTGGAGAGGAGGATGTCTAAGGCACGGCTTCCTTGGAACGAGGATGAGTGACGTGGGCGTTTTGATGTCGAATGCTGGAGGAGTACATGGAGGCCTGTAGGTCAAGAGAGTCCACTCTATGTTTGGCGGCGCCTTCTGGGCATGTTTCTCGACCAGCCAGGTTTTGGGCCACTTCACGGCATCTTCAAAAAGGTAGCATTTGCACAAGCAACATGGAAACACAGGAGTCATCACATTCGTTATCATGTATTCAACCTTCTGCACTTATGCTTACGCTGGTCTTCGTTCCGCAACTCTATGGGTAAAACAACTGCTGATTATATATGTTGGTCATTGTTGATCCCTGCCGCACTGTCCATGAGAAAAAGCACAAAACGCAAAACCGAGCCTGTGTGGTTTGCCGTGTTGCATGAGTTTTTCCCCTTAAGGGGCCGTGGGGCGCTCTATCCCTCGGTCCTGTTCTTGCTCATGGTCACTGTTACGCGGTCACACGGGTGAGGGACCCCGGGACACAGTGAGCAGTCCAGGACTATTCAAAGAATACCCCATGAATCACTGATCTACATGATAGGAACCATTGGAATCACAAGCCAATATCACCCAAGTCCAGCATACTTCCCCATCCTGCACAATATATGCAGCAAATGTCTGAAGCTATCGCCGTCGGTGACCCATCATTTAGCACCCCAAGATGAACACATCCACCACTAAAGCGGGTGCGGTGCGGTGTATCTATGTGGCCTACTTCAAACTTCGGGATTTGTATCCCTTCTCCTGCTGAATGTCCCCGCCCCAAACCAACAGTTTCTCTCTGTGCGTCGGAGCAGGGCCCGAAGACTCTTGCCTTCTCGCTTCTCATCGGTGTCCTTCGACAAGCGCTTCAGCCAGCGAGTGCAAAGGATGGTGCAAACTTCTTCGAAGTCGACGTTTTGCACTGTCCTGTCGTCAAGAACATGCGCCAAACATAAGACGTGCCTGTGCCAATTAAAGTTAAATCATCAACGGGGGCCATTCAAAGGGTTTTGACAACATGCGTGAATCTCATTTATTACAAATTATTGATAAGCTTCATTGACTTATATAACTATTAATTATGTGACTCATCCCTGGATGAGCATGGTTGTGTTGCATCGAGCCGTCGGGTTTGCACATGAAAGAAAAATGGGCAAACCACATTGACACCCGCGTGCTTCTTGAATGGATATCATCTCTTGGGTCTATCCTATTACCAGTAAGAGTGCATGATGATGGTTAGTAAAGGCCTTGTTCCAAAATAGTGACAACTGTTTACCGACTGTTACAGGTAATAGATGTAATGGGACAGACCCAAGTCATCTCAATATACATTGTTCTGTTGAAGACAACCATGGGCTCCATGAATGTAAGATTTCAACTGTATGATGAAGTCATGAGAGGCTGGAACCCTATTTTCGGGTGGAGCTCCACTTTGTACCAAGCATGCGCGGCAAATCATGTACGGTACTATATAGATAACAACCAAAAAAGGCCCCAATTTGGACCATCAGCTTCAGGTCCAAGATCCAGCCAAGTGCTGCAGCTCAAGCCCAAAAAGCACGCCAGGTCGGAGCGAAACAATTGTCGAACCAATCAACAGTTCCAGCCGATCGCCATGTGTCGACACTTTGACACTTTCTGAGACTTCGGGACACCAACTCTGATTCACCTCTGCTGAAAGGCCCATGGAGCCCAAATGATCCTCTCATCTCGGTCGGTGGTTTCCAATGGCACAGCTTCCTCCATCCCCATCATCCCGGCTGTCCTATTATTGCCTGGCAGAAGTCCAAAATTCCACACATATTTGAACACCAGGCTCCAGGGGTGATCATTATCATCTATAGAAATATAATTTTAACATATATTAACGGAAAATTGATCCCTATAACTTTGGTCCCTAAATTAGCCACCAGCTTACCAATGATTATATATAAATTAATGCCTATCCCAGGAAACACATTGACAAACACAACTCACTAGTTTCCCAGAAACATCTCTCACCCAGTGGTCCTCTTGATTCGGCAGGCTTCCTGTTCAAAACACTTCGCCAGCTCCTGGGAGATGAGGAAAACCATATTAGAACATGTATATATATATATATAAGTACAATCCTGGAAAAGGATCGGGTCCTGGCATAATATGTAACATGTATAGATCTGTGTGGGCTCGATGTTTCCAATGTTATTGTTTTTTTTTTTTTTTTTAATACTTGTTTTTTAAAGGTGGTGCAGTGCATTTCAGGTCGAAGTTTGTTGTTTCCCGCACTTCGATTGTGAAAGGAAATGCAAACACAATAAATCAAACATGCGACCAAGTGTACAAAAAGCACAGAAAACACTGGTATACAACATAACGCACTGTCCGTCAATCAAGCACAAACAAGTATCAAACTGTTTCATTTTATAAGCCCCAGTTTCTGATACATATGTTTTTCATTCAGATTTTACTGTGTCCATATGAATGGTGCGGGTAGTACGGAGGTATCTATCAAAATCCAAAAATTGATGAAACGGCCTTTGGCTGTCAAGCCCTTTGGCCAAGCTCCTCATCACTCCATTGATCTTCGCCATCCAGCGGCTCGTCCGCCAGCACTTCCGCGGTCGTCAGCGGTACCTCATCCGTCACGGTGGCCTTGGGGCTCCTTGGCGGAAGCACATCGGTGGAAGCATCAATGCTGACCTTGCCAAACAAATAGATAGATAGACAAACAAATAGATTCATAGATAGATAGATAGACCAAATAGATTTAAACAAATGGCACATGCACCAGCTTGGATGGGTTTGGATAAAAGGATCTCCAAACACTTAACAAGTCGGGCGCTGCTCCTGCTAGTTATAATCATACTGTACATGAGGGCAACAGGATTGCGACCCAACCCATACCCCTGTTTCGCTTGTTTCTTTCGCAAAGCCAGTGATTCTGGCACCAGAAGCCATCCGCCAAGTTGTTCAACACATTGGAGAACATGGCCCGCTGACGTTCACGTGGTGTTTGAATGATCTCTGGCCGCACGTCACCCGGAGACTATCCATTGGCCACAGTATGAGAGAGGGTGCTGGCGTTGTCTCCAAAACCACAAAATGCATAAGAACCATCAACCAGCACTGAGCACTTACGTACTCATATGGAATGACCATCTGACCATCTATGCTTCATGTTATGTCGTTATTTCTAACGCTGGTGGGGCTGTTACAGGTTCGAAGAAACACGTCAGTCGACATGTTCTGCTGGAAGGGCTATGAAGAACCACCTGGAGCCGGACTTCGTAGCGCGACATGAGAAAACAATAAAGCAAAGCTTGCTCTGGGCAGCGTGAAGCTTTTTGTGTCACCCGTCCCTGTATGAACTGCGGGTCAAGGAGTGCGCTGCCAAGGAGTCACAAAAAAAAGAACAAAACACATGGGAACAACATATTGGCCAAAGAAATCTGGTCAAAACAACTCAAAACGCAGTCTGAGAGCGAGAGAAGAAGAGCATTGTTTTTCCAGGATTCTATTTATGCGCTACAGGATTCTTTTCAACATATCCCGAGGCCATTGGATTTTTGCTAAAGATGCTCAAAGCCTGGCAAGGAGCATCCAGTGCTTCCCCAGACTCACGCTATTTCGCGACAGTGGGGTCCACCACCGGTTTTCGACTCGCAAACGGTCCGTGGCTGAAAGGGAGCCTCTTGGAATAGCCGCCCGTGGCAGATCTTTGAATGATCCGGTCCAGGATATGGTAGCTGTCACCTCGCCAAATGGCAAATGGCTTCACGCTCTTGGACATGTGCACTTCGATGCACTTAGTATGGCAAGCAAAGGGAAATTTAACGTGTTTTTCAAGACATCAGAAACTGTGTTAAAAATTCTGGACATCTGAGAACAGTCCGATTGAAATTCTCTAAAAACAAACATGACCAACAATTAGAGCCAGTCGGGCACACGGCGCTGCGTTCACATTGATCTCCCAACGCAACGATCAAAGGTGACCAGCCAAGGGGCGACGCTTGAGCTTCTGCAAGCCTCCTGAGCGAAGAAAACACACACCACTCAGACTCAGGAGAGTCAAAACTGGCAACAACACGGTGAAAACAGCTCACGTGCATCACTTGATGTCAGGAACCAATAGGGCCAGATGACGGGAGCTTCACCAATGACCGGTGCAAAACACGCGACAGGGCTGCACCCGACTGGGCTGCACCCGAGGTTCGTCTGGCCCAATGGAAAATGATGGCCACGAGGAACATGCCAATGACAAAGCCGACCTGACGGCTCTGGCGTCAGGTGGTCCGGTCGGAACATCCGATGGTGCCGGTGCCCAGTTCTTGGATGCGAGTGGTGAAGGGTGAAACTGCACGCAAGCTCATTACAGGCGTCGAGAGCTCTGAAAGCGTGAGAGCTCAGGAATGAGGAGACATGCGATTTCTGTTCCTGATGCAAGCCGGCTGCAAGCCCTTCTCATCCCTTCTCACCGAAATACGTATATACCGTATACCGTATACCATTATAACCTTTGCTCCCGAGACTCATCAAACATCATAAGTTGTTGCATGGCATGAGCCATCATGAGCCCACGAAAGGAACCTTTTGACACTGCCCCAGTTCCCATATTAGTTCTCATTACCGCTGTTGACCGCAAAAGAAGATCGGTACTTGTTGATTTCCGACCTCCTCCACTGTCGGCCACTGGGGAAGTACCAAAACATCCCACAGGGGATCCAGCAGCTTCACTTCCATGGTGGCGTGAGGAATATAATATATATATATATATATTTATAATCACCTTCTGAGAAGGTACTTGGATCCCTAAGGGTAAGAGTATATTAACGGCATATGACACGTACACTGAATCAGTGTATGTCAATTGCAGCTTGGCCAAAAAAGCGTTAAAAGGCAAACCTGTTGGGCTGAGGGATGCACCACGACCAACTTGGCCCTTCGCGTCCTTGCAACGTCCGAGGTGCGAAAATCCCGGTCACCATCCCATTGTAGGAAAAGCGTTTGCCTCCCGAGTCGAAGGAAAGAATTGACAGAAAGGCTGGCTGAAGACAAAGCGGAATGTGACGTACTGTATGGAAGAAAAATGCATGCTGCAGTGCCTTTGTTTACAGTGGTCCTCCCCCTCAAAAAGGACACAGTAGTTAGGGGCGGTTTCGTGAGTCACATTCCATTGGTGCTCATGGGAGGATGGACCACCATAGACCACCATGGACTGAGCCATCAGTGAGAATGGAGAACAAACGGGTCGCACCCTGGGAGGCCCGGTCTGAAATGAACGATCCTTTAGTGTGAAACCCACATTTCGATCCGCGCAACGGCGGACAACTTCATCTCAAAGGGGTCACTGGAGTTTCCAGGCCTCTTTCAAATACACCAATGGGTTAGTGCTGGAAATGTCAGATATGGACAAAGTTGAGGAAGCATGTGAAAAAGCTATCAAGTGAGCCGAAACATGCAAAATTCCAATTCTCCCTGCTATTTCTTTTCCCTGCTCTTCCCGCTGGCAACTTGTGTCCAGAAGGCTCGTAGCTGTACATGCTCGTGCAAGGTCCTTCTTCTCACCAAATTCCATTTCTTGCCTTGGCTGCTGGCGGCTGCGAGTTGCCACACAGAGAAACATTATTCTTCCATGGTGCATTTGTGACCTGCCCTTCCTATGCATCGAACTCAAAACCAGCACGTCGACGGAGCATGTCGACGGTCTTTGCAGGTGCACGTCAAAGGCTGGAGTTTGACCAGTCTGATGTGCCGAGCTGCAACCAGCCGGAGACTTTCTCTCTCAAGGCTCGCTTGTGCATCCTGAGGAAGTCGATGAACATGACCAAATTCGAGAACGTGCCAACGGATGGAGCCTGCTCCTTTGCATGCAACATGTTTATCCAAGGCCACGTGGTTCATGGGTACACCCTGAAGAAGACTTACAGTACATGAACGATTGATGAAGATTGAGTCTCCTCTTCAAACAGCGATTTAGTGAGCCTTCCGGTGTGTGCATGATATTTCTAGGCGCTAAGAAAGAAAAGCAAAAACACACCACCCAGGGACCCAGGTACTCACCCAGGTATAGCCTACCCATGCCCATTCCATCAAATAACTTATTTTCTATGTGTTGCTTTTGTTCTAGGATTTCTAGGGATAATAGAAAAAGAGATCGCATTGAACGCTTAAACAAAACTTGGAGCAAACCCTGCACAAAAAGAACGCAAACTATATATGTCTGAAAGCCCATTCTAACACCCATTTAAATACGAGACGTGAGAAGCTGCAACTCTGATCACTCCCATGCCGCCGGTGATCTCCATAGCATTTTCCAAGTGCATGTGCTTGAGAGCCTCGGCAAAAACCCGAGAGAGTGGCAGTCCGGCTGTGCAAAAAGCAAGCACAAAACCTAGCAAAACCCATGTAAAGTGCTTTTTTGTTTTTTAAGGAAGTGGTTCACTCTCCTTGCGCGTAAAGAATGGGCATGCACACAGTTTCTTCAGTGCAACACTCCCTTCACCAAAAGAACGCAAAACAACAAAACTATATACTTCTTCAGTGTACCACTGCTGCCCACCAGCCGCCCCGCCTGACGCCAATCCTGCAAGCTCTGCCACACCAAACGATTGGCAAAGTGCCTGGCGATATACAGGGATGAAAGTCAAGTAAGAGTTTACACCGTCATCATCAAGTGGATAAGCCCTGCACAACACAAACCCAAAAGAGCTTGGACATATTTCATACTATATCTTGATACATCTTGAGGCTGTAACGTGCTATATAAAACTCGCCCGTAGATGTTCCTGTGTAACCCTGCAAGTGTCCCCGAACGGGTTAAACGATATAATCCGGATTGTCCACCTGTTCGTTGGTAGATGTTGGTAGGACACTACTCCAGAAAAGCTTGGAAATAAGTGGTAGGACCTGGCCAATGGCCATATCCCTTTGGGTTTCTTGATGTTTCTTGGTCTCTTTAATGGAGTTGCTTGGCACTTCTTCTCCCAGTGGTGTGGTCCCAGGGCTGGACTCTGCCACAAGCGCAGTGTCCAACTGGAAAATGACCCGAATTGAAGGCAAGATCCTCAATCTCCGGATATCCCAAAACAAATACAAACAGTAACGGACCTAATTGATGGTAAATGAACAAAACACAACACCCAGTCACCCCAAAATACGAGAGCAAGCGATTGTCAGGAATTTAGGCACTCTGTGCCGCATTCCGTTAATTTATCTTCTTTCAGGTTCAGCGAGGTTTCATCAGGAGCTCTTCTCTGCCAGGACACTGGATGGCCATGAAGCACTTCTGTTGCGCCCTCCTGGGCTGCAACGCCAAAAAGAAACTTGGGCTGTCGCCCTGGAAGACACATAGCAGTGGACACCATGGCCCCGAAAGGAAAACAATAGTCCAACAATCATGGTGGTTTTCCACAATCTGGCCAAGAGAGGTTACGTGACCTTATAATAGGACCCTTCTAGGTTACTCTATAGGGTTCTTCAACCTCTGTCGGTGTGGCTGTGGGTTCTTCAACCTCGAGGCCCCGAGGCTGCATGTCGAGGCTCTCTGCCGCTGCCGCCCTCCACTCCAGGAAATTCCGTCGCATCTGCCATCGCCCCGCAAAGGTGCTGCAGCACTGCAGCAGCCTGGGATGACGGGCTGCTGCACGAATTCACGGGAACTGCACGGTGATCGATGACGGGAACAGCACTTCACTATGTTCAATGGAAGGTCTATATATACCAATCCAGAACTTCTTCACTGAATGTATCTTGGTTAGCACATTGGTTAAATCCAAATTCTTTAAACAACCTATTACGCTCTCTCATTGACTCCCTGGGAAAGTTGACAAGACCTATTGAACAAGTGATTGGCATCATAACACAACGCTTGAGATAACGGCCCTAAGTCGGCGGCGAGTTAGGTCATTTCTTCAGGGCCTTGCAGTCCACCTAGGGCAAAACAAGTGGGATTTTTCGTGCAAAACTAAAGCAGCATCGGAGGCAATACAATTCCAAATCCCAACCTGGAAGAACAATGAAACACACAGTTAGAGCATGACAACCCACATCCTAACGTGGCCGCACAAGTGGATACGCCACGTAGCCGCTGGTGTTGCATCTGGTACGCCTGTAACACCGCAATAATGCACCGGAAGGCGTGGCGTCCTCAGCAGGATTGAGTCATTGACAAGGGAAACCGATGATCTGCAGCCCTTCATGTTCCTTCCACTTACAATCCCAATCACCCGGCTAACCTAGCCACGAAAGGTTCAAAAGCCGATTATCAAACCGTGCGTTTCGGGAGGGCAACATTTTTATTATTGATGGTCCATGGTTTTGGATCATGTCAGCAACAAAACCCGGGGAAGTCCTTGCTGAAACGAAACCTGAAACCATTGGAGTTTCAGGCTCTATGCGACTTACCCAAGGGATGCAACCTGATCGTGCAACCAAGCATGCGTTGCATGCACAGGAATCGGAGAAACCATTATTGTCGATGGAAGAGTCGAAACACAAAAATATTATCAATTGCGGCTACATGGGCACTCACTTTCACGGATATCCTTCACAACATGTTGTTCGGCCGACTTTCAGGTCCATGATAAAACGTCATGAGGGACGGTCAAAACAAACTAATTTGTTATCCTTCTTCAACTAAATTCCGCCGACCCTCTGCCACGTGCAGAGGCGAGGCATGTTTTGTGGAACGTTGTTTGTTAAGATTGTTTGTGCAACTTGTGATTTTGTGCTTAAAATGTTCCTTGGAGCGGTCGTCGTTCCGCTGAGTTCACCCTCCTCCCCTGCCAATCACGGTCTTACACCAACCACCGCTTACATCCAACCACGGTTTCCAGCAACCACGGTTGGCAACAAACAGCCCTTTACACCAACCACAGCCCCGCAGTTTACACCACACCACGCTTTCTCATTCCTGGCGCCAAATCTCCGCCCAGCATCCAGACATGCCATGGGAGACAAGGGGGGACAAGGAGAGACAAAGCAAAGTGATCCCAGCCCAGCATCCAGACATGCCCAGCATCCAGACACGCCATGAGAGACAAGAGGAAACAAAGCAAAATCATCTCAGCCCAGCATCCAGACATGCCATGGAAGACAAGGGCAGACGAAGGGAGACAAAGCAAAATCATCAGACATGCCATAGGAGACAAGGGGAGGCAAAGGGAGACAAAGCAAAGTGATCTCAACCCAGCATCCAGACACGCATGGGGGACAAAGGGAGACAAAGCAAAATCATCTCAGCCCAGCATCCAATCATGCCATGGGAGACAAGGGGAGACAAAGCAAAATCATCTCAGCCCAGCATCCAGACATGCCATGGGAGAGAGGGGGCGGACAAGAACCCAGCATCCAGACACGCCTTGGGAGACAAGGGGAGACGAGGGGAGACAAAGCAAAATCATCTCAGCCCAGTATCCAGACATGCCATGGGAGACAGGGGGGGACAAAGGGAGACAAAGCAAAATCATCTCAGCCCAGCATCCAGACATGCCATGGGAGACAAGGCCAGACAAAGCGAAATCATCTCAGCCCAGCGTCCAGACATGCCATGGGAGACAAGGGGGGGGACGAAGGGAGACAAAGCAAAATCATCTGGCCCCCAATGGCAGAGAAGGGGAAACAAAGCTAAATCATCCCAGCCCAGACACAGAGACAAAGCAAAATCATCTCAGCCCATGGGGGGGGGACAAAGGGCGGGAATCATCTTGGCCCAGCATCATTTCTATGCAAGAACTGAGAACCCGTCACAGCAAAGCTGCTTGGGGAAAAACTTAGCTCAGCAACTTCCAGTTGCGTGAAAACCAGCACCTTGTCCAAGGTCTACACCCAGTGGGCAACCACACCTCTACAAGCTCCTTTCAATTACACCAGCATCGACCCCTAACAGCAGCGGCAGTCGGAGTTTTCTTTTTTGGCCGATCCATGGGAGACAAAGGGGAGACAAAGCAAAGTGATCCCAGCCCAGCATCCAGACACGCCATGGGAGACAAGGCGAGACACGAAGGGAGACAAAGCAAAATCATCTCAACCCATCCAGACATGCCATGGGAGAGAGGGGGGGAGAAGGAGAGACAAAACAAAGTGATCTCAACCCAAACACGCCATGCGAGAGAAGGGGAGATGAAGGGAGACAAAGCAAAATGATCTCAACCCAGTATCCAGACATGCCATGGGAGACAAGGGGAGACAAAGCGAAGCCATCTCAGCCCAGCATCCAGACATGCCATGGGAGACAAGGGGAGAGAAAGAAGACACGCCATGGGAGACAAGGGGAGACGAAGGAGAGACAAAGCAAAGTGATCCCAGCCCAGCATCCAGACACGCCAATGGAGACAAGGGGAGACAAAGCAATGTCATCTCAGCCCAGCATCCAATCATGCCATGGGAGCAAGGGGAAACAAAGGGAGACAAAGCAAAATCCTCTCCGCCCAGCATTCACACATGCCATCGAAAACACGGGGAGGCAAGGAGAGACAAAGCAAAATCATCTCAGCAGAGTATGCAGACATGCGATGGGAGACAGGGGGGGACAAAGGGAAACAAAGCAAAATCATCTCAGCCCAGCATCCAGACATGCCACGGGAGACAAGGCCAGACAAAGAGAGCCAAAGGGAGACAAAGCAAAATCATCTCAGCCCAGCGTCCAGACATGCCATGGGAGACAAGGCTGGGACGAAGGGAGACAAAGTAACATCATCTGGGCCCCCAATGGCAGAGAAGGAAAAAACAACGGGAAACAAAGCCAAATCATCTCAGCCCAGCATCCAGGCACGCCATGGGAGACAAGGGGAGAAAAAGAGCGGGAATCTTCTTGGCCCAGCATCATTTCGATGCAAGAACTGAGAACCCGTCACAGCAAAGCTGCTTGGGGAAAACTTAGCTCAGCAACTTCCAGTTGCGTGAAAACCAGCACCTCGTCCAAGGTCTACACCCAGTGGGCAACCACGCCTCTACAAGCTCCTTTCAATTACACCAGCATCGACCCCAAACAGCAGCGGCAGTCGGAGTTTTCTGTTTTGGCCGATCCATGGGAGACAAAGGGGAGACAAAGCAAAGTGATCCCAGCCCAGCATCCAGACACGCCATGGGAGACAAGGCGAGACACGAAGGGAGACAAAGCAAACTCATCTCAACCCAGCATCCAGACATGCCATGGGAGAGGGGGGGGGAAGAAGAGACAAAACAAAGTGATCTCAACCCAAACACGCCATGCGAGAGAAGGGGAGATGAAGGGAGACAAAGCAAAATGATCTCAACCCAGTATCCAGACATGCCATGGGAGACAAGGGGAGACGAAGGAGAGACAAAGCAAAGTGATCCCAGCCCAGCATCCAGACACGCCAATGGAGACACGGGGAGGCAAAGCGAGACAAAGCAAAGTCATCTCAGCCCAGCATCCAATCATGCCATGGGAGACAAGGGGAAACAAAGCAAAATCATCTCAGCCCAGCATCCAATCATGCCATGGGAGACAAGGGGAGACAAAGCAAAATCATCTCAGCCCAGCATCCAGACATGTCATGGGAGACAAGGGGCGACAAAGCGAAATCATCTCAGCCCAGCATCCAGACATACCATGGGAGACAGGGGGGACGAAGGGAGACAAAGCAAAATCATCTCAGGCCAGCATCCAGATATGCCATGGAGACAAGGGGAGACAAAGGGAGACAAAGCAAAATCATCTCAGCCCAGCATCTGGCATGCCATGGGAGACAAGAGGAGACAAGGGGAAACAAAGAGAGCCAAAGGGAGACAAAGCAACATCATCCCACCCCAGCGTCCAGACATGCCATGGGAGACAAGGGGAGACAAAGCAAGATCATCTCAGCGCAGCATCCAGACATGCCATTGGAGACAAGGGGAGGCAAAGGGAGACAAGGGACACGCCATGGGAGACAAGGGGAGACAAAGGGCGGGAATCATCTTGGCCCAGCATCGTTTCTATGCAAGAATTGAGAACCCGTCACAGCAAGGGGAACATCAGTAGCTTAGCGACTTCCTGTCACAGGAAAGTGAACTTTCTACACACCCCTTCCCTCCCCCCCTTCTTGCCCCCTCCCCCACTGCAGCCTGCAATTGTAACACGTACTCCATAGGGCCAGCCCTTGCCGTTTCTCTGCGTTGCGTCTCCCACCCTGGCACCCGCTTGCTTATGCTTGTTGCTGGCGACATGTTGCTCATCTGCCTTCCCTTCACCCACCTACACCTGCTCCACCGGCAGGAATCATCTTATGCCTTCCTCTAGGGCCAGCCCTTGCCGTTTCTTTGCTTTGTGCCTTCTCCTGCCTTCAGTCTAGCTCCCCTTCTCATTTTTTGGATCACGACACGTTGCTCCTCTGCACAAATGCAGCAGCATTCAGCCGTGGAGGCCAGCGGCACACGCCAGCGGCGGTTTACACCAACCGCCGTTTACACCAAGCCACCGTTTACACCAACCACCGTTCACACCAACCAAGGTTTTCTATCCCCGAGAAACTTTCTCCTACGCCGGGCTTGTACACACACCGGATTTTGCACAAACCTGCCGCTTTGCCTGACCTCACCTCGGGCCTTTTCAACAAGATGCCCCTCATACCGCTTGTGGTTGTGCACTCTCACTTCCGCTAGCAAGGTTTTACCAAGTTTTAGATTTCTCGCCTCACAACGGGTGCCTGCGTTCTGCATCCAAAAAAAACAACACGCACACTTCGTCGACCACACTCAGTCAAACTTCTGGCAAAGGGATCCGTCTTCCCTCCCCGGGCACGCTGCGCTTCTCTTTGTTAACCGCAATGGGGGACACGTCCCTCCCTCCCTCCCTCCCTCTCCTTTTTTTCTCTCTCCGGTCTCTCTCTCTCTCTCTCTCTGGCTCCGACGCCATGCATCATGGCTTGCCTGGCCAACGCATTCTGCACATGCGTGCTTTCACTCTAAGCTCAACCTCCCAGCGTTTTTCTTCACACTTGCGTTTCTGCCTTCTCCCACTCACTAGCAGGCTCAGCACCAATCTCCTCTCCAGTACTTAACCTCACTTCTTCTTAGCCTGGGGTTCCAATCTTGGAAACAGCTCCTGTACAGCCGCTAAGGGGCCCGGTCCCGGGTTCCCATTAAAGCTTCTTGCGCCTATAGAGGCACCCTGGCTTATATGATGGAGTTCCAGCGTTGCTTGCTTGGTGCCAACGCAACGTTGCTTTCTGCCTGCACCTTTCTGCTACACTTTGGACTGTCACTGGTTCACCCTATAGACTCAAAGTCCTCTTTTGCATCAGCGCTCCTCTAGAAGCGCTTCAAGAGCGAAACCCTTCAAATGTCAAAAGCAATCACTGAAATAATCCAGCCCCTTGAATCCAGAAGGGTTTCAAACAGAAATGATTTTTAACACCAGCTCACAATATCGCACTTATTGTTATTCTATTTTTGTTGTGTGTTGAAACATGTGTTCTTTATTTTTCTATGCAATGTTGTTTTTTACTTAATTTCTTGGCCTTAAATATTGTGCGTGGACAAAAAGGATAACTTGAACATTGATCAGGGTTACAATCCTGATTATGACTCACACAGCAATGAGTGACAGGTGAGTTGGAGCTTTGAGATGACAGCTGACTACAGCAATCCAAAAACCTGACAGCAGGGAAGCAAACACAAAACCTGTATATATGTGCACATTGAGTGTCCCTGTGATTGTGAGATTTTCCAAGCCTCTCTCTCTGTTGCTTCTTCTGAGGTGCTTTTCAAGGTCCATGTTAATCATCCTTGATGAGCCTCTTGGGCCGCTTTCCTCCGCCCTTCGGTCCAAGGAACTCACCAGCCGGTCGCTTGGCCCAGGTGGGACCCCCAATGGCCGCCCCCCCCGACGGCAAAAGCTCTCCAAGGTTCGAGCCAACCACGACACGGCCAAATGCGCACGCGCCAGGCGCGCAGCGCAGCGGGCGTTGTGGAGGTGCCAATGATGACGCTGCCAGGAGCAAAAGCACATCTTCCTGAAGTGCTGAAAGTGAGTTGGTGCGACCATCCACGGAGTTTTTATGCGGCATGGGTGCGACCATCCAAATGCCCAATGGAGATTCACAAATGTCTGGGGATGTGTAGGGTAGCTTACTGACAACCTCTGGGATGGTGCTTTGATATAGAACGAACCCACTCTAGGTTTCATTGGCATCACTGATGCAACTGAGGTAGCAGTCCATGACAGGGGTTGGACAGTTGGACACCAACATCCACGGTGAGAGTCTGACTCCTGTACTCATGGAACGAAGCATGGACCCTAAAATTAGAACAGCTGAAGGGCAGCTATGACGGGTCATTCAATCCAGAACCAGCAGATCGAATTGATCACTTCCACTGAAAAGCACGCATACCGCCCTTTTCTTGTCAAGCTTCATGAGCACGCTCCGCCGGCGATTCCAAGCCAGTAGTCCCCAAAACTGCCCTTGGCTCACCTGGCGCGACTCCGTGGACCCTTCCTGCGCGCGTGTGGCCTGGAAGATCGACGGTGCCTGCTATGGCTCCGGCGTGGCGTTCATGATCTACGCCCCATGTTCGCGCGCGTGGAGCGAGATGACTATGAGCAATGAAGAAGGGATGTCAAATGAGACTTGCTTTCGAAGGTGCGTTCCCTTCTCACCATCAAATAGGTTCCACCGAGAAAGGGAACATCCCGAGGTCCAAAGTGTTCCCCAAGGTCCATCCCAGTCCATGAATAATATTCTGTGGTCGCCCAATCGATGGTGGCACGGTTTCCAATATCATTTTTGGTGGGGAGCTACTTTATCTATCTATTTGGGGATCACAAAAGAATCCGCAATTTTCTGTAATGTCACGATCTCCCCTGAATCACGCCCGGCTGACTTCTTGCCGCAAGGCGCACCTCAGCCATAAACGACACACGAGGCAATCCTTGTCTATGTCAATCATCATTGGCTGCTCGCACCGCTTTGCACAAAGGCTTTTCAATGACCAATAAACGAAGGAGTATCTCAGAATTCACAGTAGTAACCTGGATGCTTGAAGTGTTGTATAAATCTTCTGGACTAACCTGGATGACTGCAGCACACTCCGTTTCAGGAACATCATGTTACTTATGAACCCTCATTTGCTCCTGCGAAGAAAACAAGATGGAACCCACGAACCCGAATGCAAACACGATCGAAAAACTAATATGTCCAAAGGACACTCTTGTAGGACACTCTTGCGGGACACTCTGTAGGACACTCTTGTGGGCCACTCTTGTAGGAAACTCTTGTGGGACACTCTTGTAGGACACTCTTGTGGGACACTCTTATAGGACACTCTTGTGGGACACTC